AGATCTCTGCAAACTATTCACATATACCAGGAGAAATGTTGAAAATTTGTGCAAAGCTCAGTACCAAATGGCACCCCTAGGCAGCCTGATTTCTGGAAGCAGCCATCTTCCTTGTCCAGTTCATTCTCTGATGTCCAGCTGGACAGTAATGTTCCAGATCTTTCAGATGTAGCAAGCCCCCCCTCTCCCCCCTGCTTCATGTTAAGTGCTAGCTGTTTTTGGACTTGTTCCTGTGGAGTCCATGTGCAATGTACTCTGTTCTATATTTTGCTTCATATGCATGTTTTCTATCTGGCTTGTGTGGGTTTTGTTTTGTTTGTTGTGCTCTGGGCTGCATGCACTTTAGGTTCTTTCCCCAGGGTGGCTGCTAGCATTGCACTGGCAGAGATCTTCTCTGGTGTGTTTGGAAGTTTGCCCCTGAGAGGCCAGGCCACTGAGATGACCTGGACTATTCACAAGTCTCTGACTCTTCTGTTTGGGTCTCTAGGCTGAGGGCATTCTGTTGGTTGTACTGGGGTGTGCTGGGCCTCATGTGTTTGTTTATATGACACGCCACAGGGATTGGTCGTATCCTGGTTGTTTTGTGTTTCACATCTGTCTTGGCGAGTGGCCTTGGTGCCTGGGTGTCCTGCTTGGCTAGCTGCCTTCAGGCATTGGTAATCCACTCGCAGGTCTTTGATGTGGCTGCTTTGGCCCGCTGAGCCTGCACTCGCCATGTGTGAGTTTGAAGGATGCTCATTATCTTTGCTACCAGATCGTCATTCTTTCTGCCTCTGCCATGCTGCCTGTTTGGTTTGTGCCACCTCTGACCTTGAGTCCTATGCAATTTTTCTTCTGGTTCTCCACATTGATCAATTTAACTTCTCATGCAGAAGCATTCAAGGCAGCTTCTGCTTTGAGATGATAAATACCTAACCCTGGTAAACCTAGGGTTAGGCATTTGTGACATTATGATCAGTTGGATGCCCCAGAGTCGGCTACTATGGTCATTCGGTACCTGGAATTGGAGGCATTGGTGATCTTGACCTGGATCAAGTCTGTGCCTCCTCTTCCTTCTCCTGCGAGTATTGTTCGCCCTGCTTCTGGTCTTCCTCCTTTTGGTTTTGTAGCCCCATCCACATTGAGAGCAGCTGGGTTTCAAAATGTAACAAAAATTGGAGACATTGACCCGAACTCATAGTAAACAAGGTTCAGCATGGAAGCAAGGCCCAAATACCATGTGGGAAATAAGGGAAGGGGGGGGTAATAAATAAATAAGGGGTAATCCACAATAGCCACTGAAGGAGGACTCGAGAAGAGAAAACCCGTGGGACTAGGAATCCGCAGGACCGAACGGTACCTGGAAATGGCCCTAGGGGCAAGACAATCTTAAAGGCATTGTTAACCCTGGGCAAAGAAATGCACGGGGCCCCTACCCAGATAAGGGGCCATGCCTGTCTGCTAAAGTGCAGGATTACTGTAAGATGGGATACAAACCCACACACAGCAGCAGTGTTGGATTAGCAGTCCAAGCCCTAACCACTCGGCCACCTCGTCTAAATTAATTATTAGAATATAATTTGAAGAAGGATTTGAATCTCGGGCCTTTCGAGCAAGAGGACGAGTAATGATCCTCTCTGCCATGAGAATTATCAGGATCATTATGGTAGCATGGAGCCCTTAGAATCTTAGAATTGTTGGAGCCCCTGCACAACTGCCCAGTGTGCCTGTTTGATAAGATGGCATTGCCTGAGGAGGGAAGAGCCACGGCTAAAACAAATTCATACTTATCAGGAGGATAAGAGAAACCCAGCCATGTGAGCATATGATCCCCTCAGATGCAACAAAATATAAAGAGGAATCAGAGGGCAACCAAGGGCCCAAAATCAGTTTCTCCCAAGTTCCGAGAGCTTGTCATGAAAACTCTGGGTAAGAGCCGATGTCCTTACCCAGTGTCTGGTAAAGAAAGGTTTCCTCCCAAGGAGAAGGCATGGAGGAAACATGTCGCTGTGAAGAAGAAAACTCTGCAACCTTGGTGGGACTAGAAGGCTCAACTGCCTCCATGTTCAAGGAAGGGGGGAGCAAACCCGGAATTAACTCAACTACACCCCGAGGCAACTTTGTCAATGCAAGGGCAGCACTAGATGAATGTTCAGGGAAGTAACTACTGAACATATACAGTTTGAGGTGGGGGGAATCTACATAACAATACTGGATAGAAACACGCTCATGAAACAAAATACCATATTATGATGATTAATGAGGAGGAGGATGATGAACAGTTTATTTAGCTAAAAGTACATGCAAACAAAATGAGTTACAAGCAGAATGTTAGATTTCTAGAAAGAGCTAGTACATTCTATGCCTAAATTAATATGCACATCGTTTCAAGCAAGATGTGAGAAAAAAAATTAAAAACCAAGTCTTAAAACTAATTGAGATCAAAAGCATGAACTGAACTGAAGTAGAAAAAAATTACTACTGTATAATTACATTTGAATGGAACTATATAAATTGCAACAGAAAAACAGATAGCAATTTTAACTAAATAAACAGACTACAATTTTGTTTAAATTTATTTATACATGCCAGAAATCTGCAGTTATATAAGTTAGTCATTAATCATTACAAGTTAATATTTAAGCATTAATGTTTGATAATAGCAAGACATGGAACATTTAGGAGGTGAGGTAGGCTGCATGGAGTATGAATATGGAATGATACACAAGCAAATGGTCTCTGCTGGACAAGTCCAAGGAAAGCTGGCACTTAGCATAGAAGCAGTGGGACCAGCCACAAAAGGTGACTGGCGCACTACTGCATTGCTCTAAGCCATGCATCAGCGACAGAACTAGCTGACAAAGAAGTGAATTCTGGGCCACCTGGTGGCTGCATTCAGTACTATTGGGTTCTAGCTAGTTAATAAAAGTTTCCTTCAGTTTTGACCGAATCATTTTGGGAGTTGTTTGGCAGTTTTAAGGCTTTCAGACATGTGATCCCAGCAGTTATCTGTAAAGCATTACTGACTTTGATACATTCCCCATGAAATGGTGGAATGTCATTTATTCCCTGTTCCTCTGTGAGGTGGCCAAGTTCTGGCTTTGGTACCTGGTATGGCAAATAGAACTAATGTGCCTGATGCGACACGTTAGTAGGGAACAATCTCGGTCAGATAGCTACAGGGAGCCGCTAGGGGCATTACTAGAAAAGAAGATATATGATAGTGTTGCTAATTTTAATCCTTAAGCTGGTAAGGGGTCCTGAGGAGATTTACACCCCTGTGCTCAAGAAAAACAAAATTCTAATTTTTTTTAAGTCTTCTAAAAATGTTAATTTGTGTTCCTGAGCATGGGAAAAAAAATCGTTGGGGATATATTTTGGGTGCAATAGGCCGAGGAAGTCTGGCAAAATGTGGGCGTTGACAGAGAGGTCGTCAGAGGCGATCAGCATCACCCGAGCTGACAGGTGGGAGTTGCCACAAAGATGATATTACCTAATTATTTCAATGTCTCTGATTGATTTTTTCTTAGTTTTATGCAGTAATAATATCCAATAGTGTGTGTGATAGATTTATAGATTTATATAATAAAATGTGTGAATCATCGCTATACTCAAAAGTATGGTGTTCATATTAGTGGTTCAATCATTACGTTCATAAGACAATAAACAAATAGTTTTGCTGTTATTACACCATACACACACATTATATATAAGTATCTACATGTTTTGTTCACTACAACTGTACAACTAAGCTGATATAGTTAGTTCAGGAACTAAGAGACATCGCTACACTCAGTCAGCTGGCGGCTGTCTCCCTCACTCATTCAAGGTCAGGTGCACTAAATTTCTCCCCAACAATATTGTATGGGTGTTATTACACTATACACACTCATTATATATAGGTATCTACATGTTGTATGCACCGTAACTGTACACCTAAGCTTGTAGGGGGCATAGTGGCCACCCACTACACAGCTAGACAAGTCGTGCAGACGACACCACCTCCGTCACCCAAATGGCTCCTCCCAACATAATCCTTTTGCTGTTATTACACTAATTCACACATTATATATAAGTACAATATTTACATTTGTGTTCACCATAGAGAACCACTGGGCTGGTATGGTGAATGTAGACAATAACAGGTAACCACACAGTAAACGACGCTATCTCCCTCCCTCCCTCCCACAGCATTACTCCTCCCACAGCGCTAATTATCACAACACTCCTGCTATTATCACAATCCTGGTCATTTTTATCACAGTCAGGAGTCATCTGTAATATTGTCATCGCTAAATAATAGCAGTTACATATTTATTTTGACATTTTTAGGCGATGCTGTGGTCATAAGCTGAACAGCAATGCTGTTAGCTCATGCTACGTGTGCCAGTCTTGGTTGCTCCCACAGTACTGTGGCTCTCACATCGGAGAACATTGCCCACGTTTTTTTTTAAACATGGCAAATGTTTACAAGAGCTCTGAGGAAGCTGATGTGAACCCCGGTAGCCGCGGGCCATTTGAATCTTGCCTGGCACCCTATGGCGTATATATACGCCATGCACACCGTGGGACATGTTACTCATGGCGTATATATACGCCATGCACACCGTGGGACATGTTACTCATGGCGTATATACGACGTATGGGTGTTATTACTGAGCCGGTCGGCCGAGCGGACAGCACGCTGGACTTGTGATCCTGTGGTCCTGGGTTCGATCCCAGGCGCCGGCGAGAAACAATGGGCAAAACTTTCTTTCACCCTATGCCCCTGTTACCTAGCAGTAAAATAGGTACCTGGGTGTTAGTCAGCTGTCACGGGCTGCTTCCTGGGGGTGGAGGCCTGGTCGAGGACCGGGCCGCGGGGTCACTAAAAGCCCCGAAATCATCTCAAGATAACCTCAAGACGCCATGCGCAGTTTAAGGATTAAGGCTACATTTCAGAATTACAAATTGTCCCTTTCTCTTATGATCCAAATATGTATGGTATGAACAAAAGTTTGACACTTATATTTTAATGACAGAAAGAAGCAGAGACTACTGAAAAAAATGATGTTGCCACTTCAGATCCAGTGTCTGGGCTCAAAGCCAAGACTCCGAAAGACTTTCAGGTAGAGTACGACTTCTTTGCTTTCCTTGTTTATGATTTTTATAATTTAATCCTTGCATAACTCCAATCACAATATGCACTTACCTCGTGTTCAAATTGCATGTGTTAATTTTTTTAGTTTGATGATCTATTTTTTCCTGTCCACCATGATATAGGACTCTTAATTAACTAAGCCATTTAAGAATTAAAAAATCAAAATTAAGAGGTGAAAGTAAAATTTGTAAAGTGAAGATAAAACCTTTATGTAGCTATGCAACAGGGTTCCTTAATGAAAGTACAGGTGTCTCCATTCGAGGGTTAATTAAGGGTCATTCTAAATTTCCTACATTCCAAGAGCCAGCAGAACTATATATCCATGCTATATACAGTACAGTACTAATATTGCTATGGTGGAAAACATTTCATACCATGAAAAGTGAGTGGGGTTGTAATTACTGTGCCTTGACTGTATATGCATCAGGATATGCATGTAGATGCATATGCATATGTATGCATCAGGATAGTAAGGGCTAGAGATCTGTTAGACATCAAATAGTTCAGTGATTTATTTATTATTCTAGTTCTTTACAATGCTAACCAGCATACATATAATTACATCTGTCCTACATAAACAGTGTTTGAGGTATGTTCTTTTAAACATAATGTGATTAATGTGCAATTTACAAAGGTGAAATGCAATTCTGACCAACTTACATGTATACACACACTTATTGACTGCTCTGTTTATCCGAACTATATGGGAAGGATCCCCTCATCGGATAAGCAAAACGTTTGAATAAGCAGGAATTCATACTTGGAATATCCAAAAATTAACATTTGCAATTTTTTGTACCACTACCAACATAATTAAATTTCCACACACAGGAAGTACAGTACCACATAGTTAAGGGAAGATTTAAAAATTTAATTTAAACAAATGTCAGCTTAAACTAGTTGTCTTGATCGATACTAATGATTACGGGTTATTCATGCCCGTGCCACCTCTGGGATGGCTTAATTTTTATCAATCTTTATCGATACTGATGACGTTGAAAATGTGCATTTACTTTATCTAACACAATGCTAATATTGCTGTTCATGAGCTTGGGAAGGTCAATTTTTTACTGCCTGCTGCTGAAGCATCACTGGTTAAAGGCTCTTGGCTTTCTGGAAAGGCTTCATTTTTTCCTCTTCACCATATTCTCTCAATTTAAACGTGGAAAGCCAACCATCACTTGCCCTGAAATCTTGTATTCCAAGGCTGCTGCAAACCTGCTAGCTGACAGTACAACAAAGTCACTGAGGCATTAGAGAAAAACAGAATACAGATGTGGTATACACGGATTTTGCAAAGGCATTCGATAAATGTGACCATGGAGTGATAGCACACAAAATGAGGTCAGTGCGAATAACCGGTAAAGTAGAACGCTGGATACTCAGTTTTCTGTCAAACAGAACACAGAGTAACAGTCAACCATATAACATCGAGTCCAAGAGTAGTTAAAAGCTCTGTACCTCAGGGTAAATTCCTTGCACCACTGCTTTTCCTTATTCTCATATCAGATATAGACAAAAATACAAGTCACAACTTCGTGTCATCCTTTGCAGATGACACAAAAATCAGCATGAAAATTACCTCTGCTGAAGACATTGAAAAACTTCAAGCAGATGTTAATAATGTTTTCGACTGGGCAACAGAAAATAACATGACATTTAACAGTGATAAATTCCAGGTTCTCAGGTACGGTAAAAATGAGGACCTTAAACATAATACAAGGTACAAAACACAATCAAATGTGCCCATAGTAGGAAAGCAGCATGTAAAAGATTTGGGAATAATGATGTCTGATGATCTAACGTTTAGGGAGCATAATCGAGCAAATATTGCATCAGCCAGAAAAATGATCGGATGGATTACGAGAATTTTCAAATCCAGGGATCCCATCACAATGGTTGTACTCTTCAAGTCACTTGTACTGACCTATCTTTGAGTAGGGTCAAGTACACTTCCCCCTTCAGAGTAGGAGAGATTGCTGAAATAGAGGGAATACAGAGAACATATATGGCATACATAGATGCAATAAAGCACCTAAATTATTGGGATCATCTCAAAGCTCTCCAAATATACTCACCAGAAAGGAGACAGGAGAGATATCAAATAATATACACGTTTCCACGTGTATATTATGCTGCAAACTTCGTGCTGCAAATGAAGAAAAGACCACCAGAACTGAAAGAGCAGAAGCCCCTGCGCCGGAGGAGAGCATGAAACTCTCCTACCTGACTCCCCAGAGGCCAACGGCAACAAAAGAGCCGTAAAAAACAGTCCTGAAGTGAGGGGGGGCCACCCTAAACCGAGGTGAAGGGAGCAGAGAACACCCGGTGCAACGAGCAGGACAGCTCAGGCGGTGCATGAGCAGGCCGGAGGTGAACAACGCCTGAGAAAGCTTGTGGAACGGAGCAGAAGTGACATCCACCCCAAATGCAAGCTGCAGCGGCTCCGCCAGTGCCACCTGAAACGAGGCGACAGTATCTGGCATAAGTAGACAGTCCTGAAACAATCAAGAGAGAGAGAGAGAACAAAACCGACCAGAAATCGAAGACAACCTACGAAGAGACAAGTGCCGAAAAGACCGCCAGGAAATTTCATACTGCCGTCGAGACAAAACTTGCAGGTGGGACACCAACTAAGCCACCTGTTGACCAGACCACACACTAGAATGTGAAGGGACGATGACGTTTCGGTCCGTCCTGGACCATTCTCAAGTCAGTCCGGGACGGACCAAAACGTCGTCGTCCCTTCACCTTCTAGTGTGTGGTTTGGTCAACATAATTTAGCCATGTTATTGTAACTCATCGCCTGCTAAGACACCTGATCACCATACAAGTGGTGATAAACTCGCATCAAAAAGACGAGACACGAGAAGCAGAGAAGATTGAACCAGCCACGTACTGGAATGGTCCAATCTGCTGAAAGAAGTGGAGCCGCGGGAAGACCCTCGAGTTCGGACATCGAGGAAGAGGCGCCTGAAACCAGGGCTGGGCCGGCCACCAAGGAGCCAACAGGACCTCTAATTCTTTGTAAGTCTCTCTAAGCTAACCAGGACCCGAAGCAACAACCAAACCGGTGGGAAGAGGAACAGGTAACCCCGACTAGACCAGTCCAGTCGAAAGGCATCGACCCCGATGGCCACACAGTCTGGGAAGGGCGCCACATACACTGGAAGACACCTCAACCAAGTCGATGCGAAGAGGTCCACCTCTAGGTGCCTGTACGGCCGGCAGATCGAACTGAACGAGTCTGTGTCGACCGTCCATTCCATGGAGAGGGGAATGAACCGAGACAGGCCATCCGCCAGTATGTTTGACATCGCCTGAATGTGAACCACCAGGAGAGCCAAACCTCGAGAACTCAGTAAACGAGTCACCTGAAACGACCAGACCCAAAGAGCCAAGGACCGCATTAACACTTTCGCTCGGGGATGACGCAGCATTGCGTCATCCGTTTACTGGCGGTAATGCCGGGGATGACGCAGCATTGCGTCATCCACTTTAAAAATTCGCCAAAAATCAGGTTTTTATCCGATTTTTTGGGGACTGGTTTTAAAATGTGCGCCGATGTCTTCCCATTTTCCTTGTTGAGCCTCGTCGCCCTCAGGCTGCTTGGCACACGCCGTGGGCCCATTGTCTTTGCTCCACTGTTGTGACCAATGTCGCTTCCCCCTCGCATCTCAAACGTGTGAACATTTCGGCTATTTTCCATGGCTATATTTCTTACTGTGGCTTTAGAAACTATCTACGCTTACTCCACGATGGATAGTAATCATGAACAAGGCCCTTCCAGGAAGAAAATTGCGAAAGAAAGGCTTGAAAAGGGTAGGAATTGGGAGTGTAGCAGGAAGGCCTCTGAGCACTCACTCACGGCTAACACGTGGCCCGTCTTCAACTCGTCGGCGGTTGGAGCGTGACCAGGTTTTTTTTTTTATAGGCTAATGTTCCTCTAGAGAATTTTATTACGAACCCATTGAGACCAAAATGAAAGACCTAGGACAAAAATTGAGGTGACCAGAGTGAAAATAGTGAAAACATTTTATCCCGTTTGCGCGCTCCCGGGTAACTCGTTCGCACTTTCTCTGTTTGCTGCGGGTAATTAGCCGGGCTTTTGGAGTTTATATGCATTTAGTGCTGTAGAGAATTTTATTGCGAACACAATGATACCAAATTTAATCTCGTAGAAGGAGAATTGAGGTGACAAAGTTGAAGAGAGTATACACTTTTCGGAATTAACGCGCGCTTCCGTGACACTCTGGGGCCCATATCGCCCTGTCGAGGGGTGGCGCGCGGGGTGAGCGAAAGTGTTAAACTCCCGCGGTTCAGAATATGAACCACTGAGGAGCAGTCCAAATGGAGCTGGATCATTGCTCCACGAGCAACACGAACCCTCTGAAGTGAATGTCACACCACCGTGAGCTCCTGTTCTGTGCTGTGAGCCTGACGGAAGGATGGACTCCACCGACTGTCCAGCCTGATGAGCATTAGTCACAGAACCCCAGCTGAGAGACGAGGTATCCGTGAACACATCGAGCGAGGGTTCAGGGAGGCATCAGGGCATAGAACCCCAAAAAACAACCACCGAGGAAGCTGGCGACACAGCAGCTGACACAAGGCTCCCGGGATCTGAACACAGCGATAACGAGAGCTGCGGAAGGGACACCCCAGAAGAACCAGAACATCCGCTGAAGCCAGATCTGACCTGATGGGTAGATCAGCATGGCCAAGATCAGGCTCCCGCACCGCCGCTCAAACAACCGACGTGTGACCCGGGTGCCCTCCAAAAACAGCCATTAGCAGGACCGCATTCGCAACAATGCCACCAGAGGGAGAGACAAGGAAGTGGTCTGAGAGTCCCACACAAGACCCAGGGTACACTGGGTTTTGTGTGGGACTCTCAGTCTCTCTCTCAATTCCCTCTCAGTCCGAACCTGAGAGGGAACCAATTAGGACTTCCTGTACACCAAGAACATGAATCCGGTGAGCTGGTAAGGAACCATATCCCTGGTGAGCAGACAATTGGCTGGGAGCCCACACCAGCCAATTGTCGAGGTAGGCCAGAATCAACAGCGCCGTCATGACCCGGTTAAGGCGCGTGGACACAAAAGGTGCCAGATCCAACTGGAAGGAAGGCAAAGAAATTAGTGTCACTCCATGACAAAACCGAGCCAGTCCCTGAACACCAGTTGAATCGGGACATGCTAATACGCCTCCCGGAGGTTCAGAGACACCATCCAGGCACCAAAAGCAGCCAGACCCGAGAGAGATTGGTCATCTGAAAGGAGGGGCAAGGACCCATAGGATCATACATTATAAGTCCAGTATGAATCGCAGCTCTGCCGAATCCCGTTTCGGAACTAAAGACAGGCAGGAAACCCACTCCAAGATAACTTGACAGAGCGCATGGGAAGAGGCCCGCCCTGCAAGCCCCAATCTTCCCAAAGGAGGAAGAAAGAAGCAACGCCACCACAGGCCAGAGGAAAAGGACTCGAATCACCCACAAATCGTGGGACCAGGCAAGAACAAACAGCGCGAGCCTCCCCGCCAACAGGACTAACCGTGAAAAGGTTGACAACCCCTACGAGAGCCTGACTGAAACTCAAAGCGATCACTGCCCCCTCAGCAGGAGGGGCCAGTCTCGAATTTGCAACTAATGGCTTACGACGACTGAAGGTACCCTGAGACCTGGCGATGATCCTACAAGTCTGATATAGGCCATCAACTAGACAAAGCTGCCTGCAGAAAATGCAACCCACCGCAGACTCTGCAAACAGCAACGGACAAAAGGGTGATGAAAAACGAAGAGCCAGGGCCAAAAACGATTCCAAAAAATAGGACGAGCACCGCCTGTCAGCACGTGAGATGAGAAGCAAAGAACAGACACTGCTTCCCTTAGAAACTGCGCGTACAACTTCAACAAGGCAGCCGGCGCCTGAGCTGCTGAAGCAAGCACACCAGACACTGGCCTGAAACCCAGCTTCTCTACACCACCACGAACCAGTCCGAAGACAGCACCCGCAGGGAAAAGAAGTGCAAGACCGAAGCCAAGGGCCCACGGGCACCCAAATCCTCGGCCACCAGGAATGCTGAAAAGAAGGGAACCTGCATGTGAAGCCGCACCTGGCCAACATCATATGGAGGACGGGGGCGAACAAGCACGCTTTGAGGTGCTCCAACTCGCCCCCGCAGGAAACTCGAACGACCTTAGTCAACTCTCGCCATTCAAGTGCGCAGTCCGACTGGATGAATGCCAAGCCCCCAACGAAAGAAAAGGCAGTCTGCCAGCCAGGAAGACTCCGGTACCTTGCAAAGCACCCATTAGGGAAACTCAAAAGAAGGCTTCATTATCGAGGCGTAATCCGGGTCTTGCAGGCGGTAAGCCGCAAGCGCCTCCCACCCCTTCCTCGGTGGAAAGCGGGAAGCCAAAAACCTTCAGGAGGAGGGAACTGAAGAACCCTAGGGAACTTGGAACCGAACCCGGGGAGGAGTAAAACTCGTATCAAAATCGAACAGGGTGGGGATAGGAAAACCTCTTCCCCTCTAACAACAAGCCCTGTGCCGAGGGGTACCAAACACTCAGGCAGGAACAAGTGAGGTACAGGGCCTCCCCAAGCCATCCTCCAATCCCTCTGCTTCTTGAAAAAAAGCAGAGTCCACCGAAAAAATAGGAATGAAGGGGGCCTGCTGGCGTGACCCAAAAGCTCTGGCAGAAGACCAGGCTCGAATGCCTCCACCGCTAATCCGGAAAGGGCAATCCCCGAAGCTGCCCGAGTCTCGAGACCAGTACAATTCAGGGAGGCAGCTGCAGGACATCCAGAAAGGCAACCAACCTCGCATGTTGCTGCAACCTAAACCTCGCATGCAACGCTAAAGCTGCCTGAAACCGAATTTCAATCTCAGTGGACTGGGTGAATGGAGTACAAGCAAAGAACACCACTCGCAGGACAAGGGGTCATAGGTGTCACTGACTCCAAAAGGCAGCAAGATGGTGAGTGTCACCCTAAGACATGGGGGACAGGGCAACCATCAAACTCTCATAAGGCGAGGTGGGACTCAGAGGTCTCCTACATTGGACCACTGAGCCCCAATGGGGGTTTCCAGGGCCCTTAGGCTTACTGCTAAGGGAAGCCCAGGCGAGTTACTGCTAACCGATTATCCCAGAGCTACCAAGCAAACAAACTAAAAGCTGAACCTCTGTGACGTGTGCAAGCACGGGGACGTAGTGGAGGGCCACCTAAATCCTACAAGTGGTCCTACCACCACATCAGGCAGACCCCCGCTAGGCAAAAAAAAAAAAAAAAAAAAAAAAAAAAAAAAAAAAACGCAACAGCACGTCGTCTCCAGGTGAACAGACCCGGTCGCTATGCATATATCATTCAGCTGCATAGTACCTCGCGCCAAAGCCAGCGACGAAACTACCTCCTACCCAAGGACAAACAGGAGTAAGAACCTTCCAGCTGAACCCCCAAGGACAAGCAATCACCGAGCAGTGACAGAACCACACTGAGGTAGCTGCTCCTGAACAGTTCATGGAAGATAACCCTGAGGCCGCAAACGCAGTACTTACGGGGCACCTAGGAAAGGTAGCCTAAGGTGCATGCAGCCCCAGTACTCTTGTGTTACTTCTGGCTCACACACCAACAAAACAGAGAAACAACACCACGCTGCGCAAAGAGTGGAGCCAGAGCTATCAACCGTCACTGACAAAACAGCCTCTTGAACTGAGGAGAGTTGCCGGCATGGAGGTCTGGGACCCCCCCCCCCCCTGTCCCCCTCCTGGGGAGGGGAGAGGTTGCGCAGATGGATATGCGACGGTTGTGGTGACATCATGTTTGTTTCCTTGTTTTTAATTGGAGTTCTGTTTGCTAATTCTGGGTGCCTTTCTGGGTGCCTGACTTGGTAGATGGCAGACAAAGACTGCTTCCAATTACACAGGGGTGTCTTTAGACCATTGCTCTTCATGCCTCTTTGAGGGAACCAGGTTCTGGCTTTGGTCCCCGGTAGGCTTAGAAGTCCTTCGATTGACTGTTGCCATGGCCTAATATATACACATCAGCCCGGTATAGCTCTGGGGAGCCTCTGGGTCTCACCCAGAAAATGGCGTTTAATTACATTCAACGTTTTTTTTTTAATACTGTAAATGCAAATATAAAATGAATAGTTAAATATTGTCAAAATGTGAATTACGGTACCTGTCTTAGCCTTGTGTGTTTTGATCTTGGTGGTGGTGATATCATGATGTGATGATCATTTAGGTGGAAAGAAGTAGCGAGTTAAAATGGTAAAGCTGATGTACAAAAACCTGATCTTGGGTTTCTGCATTTTAGTGCACTTCCAACTTTACAATTATTTTGACTAAAACATGTATACAATTTATTTGAGCATATGATAGCTTTTTTTTTTTTCTTTTAGTCACTAATCACTGGCTATTATATTTGCAAGAAATATAAATATTTTATAAGAAAAGACAACTTTAAAATAATATGGTTTGTACAATGGAGTTGCAAGTTCTGAAGAATAATGAAACAACTTATCAGCCTTGGAAACAGGAATACCACTAACTGCATAGTTATTATTAAGGAAATCATGCAAATTACTATAAATTTGTGGTATGGTTCATTCATGAAGGTTCCATTATTTCAGCTTTATGCTATGTTTTGTCAATGTGTCACAATCTAAATTATAAGCTGCTACTGACGTCATTTTAAAATTTCTTTCTTTCTTATTGTTGTGGTTTTGTTTCAGTCAAGCCAGAAATGCAATGATATTCAGAATATAAATTTATTAATTATGCATTTGAATCTGAAGAACAAATGAATGATCGACACGTGAAAAAACTATCTTCGGGAAAATTTGAGAGCAGAAAGAGTTGAAGGGCTTTGGTATTTTTTTTTTATATCCGTGATGCTACATGTAAATATAATGAATGGATGAGTAACTTTTTATTAATTTAACATCTATAACCATCTTTTTCTATATTCGTAATTTTTATTATCTGAACTGATGCTTTCTGCACAGGATGAAAGTGTGAAGCTGGAGAAAATAATATTGTATGTATATACTATAATAATAAGTACAATTGTATTTCAGGTTTACATGAATGTAATTTCTTTGATGGGAGACGTACTGCCCCTGCAATGTGAGGCTCAGCTCGAGCCCCATGTTTCTCACCTTTGTTGGTTCTTTGTGAGATGCTCTTCACTGCAGCCTCTCGTCTCTGCTCACTACTCTGCCATTACTACTGTTCTCTCCTGCACCCTGCGTACATCATATTTCCAGAAGAAAGAGGTTGGTATTCATACGGGGGAAATAATGGGGCTCTGTAATTATTGCACAAAAGTAATTTTTTTAAGTAACAAGTGGATACCTTAACTTGTTTGTTTTTGGCCCCCTTACCAATTTTGGACACAACCAGCTTCTTGGGCCAAGTGGAAATTTGCTTAGCTATATTTTACTTCAGTGCATACTGTGAAGTTACTATGCATGTTAAAGTTCTCAATTTGATATCTTTTTAAGTTAGTGAGTTGTACTGTAGTTTATGATGTTATTTTCAAAAATGCAATAAAAGCAAAATACTGTAAAGTGACAAAGTAAAGTTAATGTTAGCCAACATGAAGTTGAAAATGATGACTACAGTCATTGGAATGTTGTGGCATTTTGAGCAAATGATAACTGTAGGCATCATAAAAATGTTAAAGGGCTACTATTTTATATGTAGCATATTTTTTTAGTCGTAAGTTTTATTGCCTTAAGCAAATGGTAAATGATACCATGAGTTTATGACCAGTCCAATTTGAGTTTGAATTCCAATTATAAGTAAAAGAGCCAAGCCATGCGAACGATCGTGATCCTGTCAGTATGGACTGTTTTTGAGCACGAGATCCTGACAAACCCGGAGCACTTTAACTTACTAGTGTGGGGAATTTCCTAACAATTATATTTTAATATTAATAGATGGTGAATGGACTGTATGAGTGGACTGTGTTAATTTTAGCTGTCTGGTAATTCCACTTCTCCAAAATTTTGGGGGTAGACTTAATAATGCTAAATCTACCTTATGTTCGATTATACTAAATCTTCAACATAACATTTATGAATAAATAATAGGTTATAAGTTTAGTAACTAACTACAAATATAACATATATGATTGCATTGACTTAGCTGACAAGCCGATCATTGGAGATGCGTCTGACAGTCTCCCACTATCAGTTTATTCTCAATCTCAACGTAATGGTGTCGTAGACACGTGAAGAACAAGTTGAGATGACAAGCTCCCGTTGTTGTCCCTCCATGCTGTGGTGAATATACAACTTAACTTCTGTAGAGTTAAAGTAATTTAAGCTAATCTACATGAAAGGGATCAACTGGTTCTGGAAATAAACTTTAGGGGTTTATTTGGTGTTCCTATGTCATAACGGCCGGACGATCTAAAGTTATTATGGCTATAAAAAACTAATAGATAGTCACTTACCCGACAAGATGTGATATCCTTAGTATTTGATGGCAAGCAGCAACGTGTGGGATTCGTAATTGCACGGATGTTCCCAAATTAACGCGATGCAAAGTGGCAGGCTTCATGGGAACGTTGTCGTTATAGTTCTCAGAGAGCAAGTGTCACTCGCCCTCTACCTCCTCTCTCGGTGCATGGCACGGAAATATATGTCAATATTCTACCTTATCTTATTATCTAACAAGACATTACCGACATTGTTGTACATCTTGGTGTTACACTTCAAATGTCGGTAGACAATTTTCCACTATTTCCACTGAAGTAACAACCAAGCTGCAACTCAATTTTGCACCGAGTTACACTGCTTCTGCACCAGGAGGTGCAGAAGCAGCAGTGTCAACTACACTGCAGGAGGGAGTGCCCTTTCCCCAAGTAATCCCTGCTCTCTCACCCCCAGGACTTCTTCCTGCCCCAAGCAGGCCTGAAGAAGACCTAAGCCCTCCATTCCCCTCTCCACCTCCCCCTGAACCCCTGGAAACTACCTCACAGGAGGAGGAGCCTACCCAAGTAGCAATGACCATAGAACAACTTCCTAAACTTGTGGTGAGTGAGGGTGAAATTGGATATAAGAAAGTGAGCTTCAAGGTAATGTACTCAAACATTGATGGGATTACCAATAAAGCAAGTGAACTGGCAGAAAGGGTGCAAGAAGAAAACTCTGATGTCATAGGACTAATGGAAACAAAATTGTCAGGAGTCATAACAGATGCTGTGTTTCCAAAGGATTACTATATAGTAAGGAAAGAGAGGGAAGGGAGAGGAGGTGGAGGAGTGGCCCTGCTAATAAGGAAGGACTGGAGATTTGATGAGATGGAAATTCCGGGCTGTGACGGATTCAGAGATTACATAACAGGAACTATAACAATGGGTGGACCTAAGATAATAGTGGCAGTCATTTACAACCCTCCCCTAAATGACAGAAGACCTAGACAGGAGTTTGATAGGAACAACATGGCAACCATTAATATAATAGAGAGAGCAGCTTCAGTTGCCTGCAGGAATGGTTCCAGACTCTTAATCATGGACGATTTCAACCATGGAAAGATAGACTGGAAGAATGGGGACCCACATGGTGGTGCAGATACGTGGAGAGCTAAACTCTTGGAAGTGGCAACAAGGAATTTTCTGAGCCAGCACGTCTAGGAACCCACAAGAGTGAGAGGCAATGATGAACCAGCTAGACTCGAATTGATATTCACCCTGAATGAGTCAGAAATAAGGGAAGTCAAAGTTGAAGCCCCCATAGGAATGAGTGACCACAGTGTACTGACCTTTGAGTACTTGGTGGAGGTAGGGATAACCTATCCAAGGATGGGAGTAGAGGGAAAAAGATTGAATTACCAAAGAGGAAAATATGACGAGATGAGGAGCTTCCTCAGGGGAATACCATGGGAAACAGAACTTAGAGACAAGAATGTGCAGGTCATGATGGATTTTGTCACCCAGAAGGGCTATGAAGCTGCAGACAGGTTTATCCCCGTCCAAAAGGAGAAAAACGAAAAACAACAGAAAAACCCATGGTTCAACCAGGAATGCAAGGTAGCGAAGCAACTGAGTAAAAGAACATGGAGAAACTACAGAAATAACAGAACACCAGAGAGCAGGGAGAGATACCAGAGGGCCAGAAATGAGTACCTCAGAGTGAGGAGGGAAGCAGAGAAACAGTTTGAAAATGACATCGCGAGTAAAGCCAAGACCTAACCAAAGCTGCTCCACAGCCACATCAGCAGTGAAGGAACAAGTGATGCAGCTGCGAAAAGCGGAGAACAGATACAGAGACAATGACAAGACAAGGAGGTGTGTGAAGAACTCAACAAGAGATTCCAGGCGGTCTTCACAATAGAACAAGGAGAAGCCCCTGCACTAAATGAGGAGGTGGCAAACCAAGCAACCTTGGAGGAATTTGACCTCACCAGTGATGAAGTCAAAAGGTGTCTGCAGGAGCTGGATGTGACAAAGGCTGTTGGGCCTGACTGAATCTCACCATGGATACTAAAGAAAGGTGCAGAAGCACTAAGTGTGCCACTCTCTATGGAGTATAACAGGTCACTGGAATCAGGAGACTTACCAGAAAGTTGGAAGACAGCTAACGTGGTCCCAATATACAAAAATGGTGACAGGCAAGAGACACTGAATTACAGGCCAGTTTCCTTAACTTGTATACCATGCAAGGTGATGGAGAAGATCGTGAGAAAAGGCTCGTAGAGCATCTGGAGGGAAATAACTTTGTAATGCACCACCAACATGGGTTCAGGGATGGTAAATTGTGCCTCACAGGTTTAATAGAATTTTATGACCAGGCAACAAAAATTAGGCAGGAAAGAGAAGGGTGGGCCAACTGCTTTTTCCTGGATTGCCAAAAAGCCTTTGACACAGTACCCCATAAAAGGCTGTTAAAAAAGTTGGAACAACAGGCAGGAGTAAAAGGGAAGGTGCTCCAGTGGATAAGGGAGTACTTAAGCAACAGGAAACAGCGAGTAACGGTGAGGGGGGAGACATCAGAGTGGCGAGATGTCACCAGCGGAGTCCCACAGGGCTCAGTACTTGGACCCATCCTGTTTCTAATATATGTGAACGATCTTCCGGAGGGTATGGACTCATTCCTCTCAATGTTTGCTGATGATGCGAAAATTATGAGAAGAATCAAGACGGATGAAGATAGACAGAGACTACAGGATGACCTGGATAAACTGGAGGAATGGTCTAAAAAATGGCTGCTAAAGTTCAACTCGGGAAAGTGTAAGGTGATGAAATTAGGCGAAGGGAGCAGGAGGCTGAACACAAGGTATCATCTGGGAGGTGAAATCCTGCAAGAGTCAAATAGAGAGAAAGACCTGGGGGTTGATATCACACCGAACTTGTCCCCAGAGGCCCACATCAAAAGAATATCATCAGCGGCATATGCTAGACTGGCCAACATAAGAACTGCCTTCAGAAACTTGTGTAAGGAATCTTTCAGAACCCTGTATACCACTTATGTAAGACCAATCCTGGAGTATGCAGCTCCAGCCTGGAGTTCATACCTAGTTAAACACAAGACAAAGTTAGAGAAGATTCAGCGGTATGCCACCAGGCTCGTCCTGAACTGAGAGGATTGAGCTACAAGGAAAGGCTAAAGGAGCTGAACCTCACATCCCTGGAAAACAGAAGAGTAAGGGGAGACATGATAACCACCTACAAAATTCTCAGGGGAATTGACAGGGTGGACAAAGACAAACTCTTCAGCACGGGTGGGACACGAACAAGGGGACACAGGTGGAAACTTAGTACCCAGATGAGCCACAGAGACATTAGAAAGAATTTTTTCAGTGTCAAGAGTAGTTAATAAATGGAATGCACTAGGAAGTGATGTGGTGGAGGCTGACTCCATACACAGTTTCAAATGTAGATATGATAGAGCCCAGTAGGTTCAGGAATCTGTACACCAGTTGATTGACAGTTGAGAGGCAGGACCAAAGAGCCAAAGCTCAACCCCCGCAAGCACAATTAGGTGAGTACAATTAGGTGAGGAAGAAACATCCCACTAACCAGTTGAGTGACAACTGGAGACTCGCTTTCATTCATCCAGAATGAAGCAGTATTCATAAGCAGCTCAAGTGACGGCAATGAAGAGTACAAAAGAACCCTTATTTTGGAATTCTAAATTAACCCAGAATTATTCTGAAACTGGGCTGGAATGAGCTGGGAATTCTGGCACGTGCCCAGAAAATCATGTGTGATAGTACCTGAAGAGTTAAATGCTTGGCTAAAAACTGAGGGCCTAAGGTAATCATTGAGGAAAGCGAGTGCCTAAATGTTGTAAAGATGCTGCTCACAAAGAACAATCTGAGAAACCTTTGTGGAAGAGTGAAAGCAAAATTGAAGCCTAGTCAAAGCATGGAATGGAAATTACACATTATCCTTACCTTTGAGTTCAATAGCCAATCTTGGAGCAAGACATATTGACTAAAAAAAAAAAAAACTCCAATCTGCCTGATTAGTGACAATCAGAGGCACAGTAGACCACTACCATAGCAACAACATTAGAACGAACAGCTCTTGCTTCTCGCACCCCTGATTCGTGATGCATGACATTCATGATAGGTTTGGAATTAAGTAGAGTAAATGATCACTACACCCAGTTAGGAATGTAAATCTACCAGAACCTCCTTCTGAGTAGATAAAAAATACTTGAACTGATGTATACCTGGAGTGGGTTCTGAAAGTTCTTCTTTTCCCCAAGCCCAACCTGGGACCAGGGTTGACTTGATAACTTGGTCTAAAAGGCTGTTGCTTGGAGCAGCCCGCAAGGCCAGATACTCACTACAACTCATTTGGTCCAGAACTTCTTGCAGGAATTTGCCTAACTGTTTCTTGAACATGTCCACTTTTTGTTTTTGTAATATTTTTACGGTTGCTGGGAAGATATTGTATAGCCATGGGACTCTGATGTGCATACAGTGGCACCTCGACTTACGATTGCCCTACTTACGATAATTTCGAGTTACGATGTAAATTTCATCGAAAAAAGCTACTTGACATCTGATGGTGTCGTTGACTTACGATATTTGTTGGTACACGTTCGGGTCGACCGAGCGCGTGGTTCCTGGTCATGCGGCTGACCTGCCTCAGTTTACTACAGCTGCCTGCTTAGTGACGATCGCGTCTATAAGAAATTTCGCTTTTGTGGTGATTTTTTGCATTTTGAACATTAAAGTAATTATTATATATCACTCCATGAGTCCCAGGAAAGCAGTGGTAAGGTTCAACATATGAGATCCCATGTAAGGATGACCATAGAGCAGAAACAAGAGATCATTCGTAAATATGAAGATGGTGTGCTGGTTGTTGGACTGGCTAGGCAGTACAACAAATCTCAGTCAACGATATCCACCATACAGGCTAAGAAAAAGGACATTATGGGTGCTAAAGTGATGCTTCATTACAGACAAACAAAGGGGAAAAACAAATGTCTCTTGACAAATTTGTAGTGAGACAAACAAGCACTGAACCACAACCAGGTCCTAGTGGTATTCAGGCAAAACGTAGGAGAGAGAGTACCCCAGAGAAAGCATCACTGCCTGATGTGATAATGGAAGGGGACTCCCCTTCCAAACAGTAACAACTCTCCTCCCCCCCTCATCACCATCTTCCATATGCCATCAAGAGCCCTCCATAAAGGTAAGATAAACGTAGGTACTGTATTGTAGTTAGAAAAAAACATTGTATTCAGTATAAAATGTATTTGTATGTTAATATTTTGGAGGGTGAGGAACGGTTTAATTCAAATCCCTTTATTTCTTATGGGAAAAATTGCTTTGACTTACGATATTTCGACTTACAATCCGTCTCTGGGAATAGAGGAACAGATTAGCATCGTAAGTCGAGGCCCCATTGTATAGTGTTTTCCAGTTGTGCCTGTGGTACCATCAATAAAAAATCTTGCTGCTAAATGCCACTTGCTTAGAGCAACTTAGCCAGACCATGAATGCTGGAACCCCCACACCTAAATGATTACGAATCTAGGCACCATTACACACACAAATCACAATTGCTTGATGCATCAAATGAACAAATCCACAAGGGCCGTGATGCGGATTTGAACCTGCGTCCGAGAGCACCCCAGATGCTGCCTTAATCGACTGAGCTACAACATGGTCAAAAGGAGTTGAAACCGAAGTTCTACTGAACTTATTGGATCCTACAGCCTCTTCGAGGTACAAACCAGGGTTTTACACAACTCCCCCATGCACTCGGAACTTCGGTTTCAACTCCTTTTGACCATGTCGTAGCTCAGTCGATTAAAGCAGCGTCTGGGATGCTCTCGGACGCAGGTTCGAATCCTCATCACGGGCCTTGTGGATTTGTTCATTTGATGCATCACGCAATTGGGATTTCTGTGTGTAATGAAGTAAGAGCGAAAAGGGAGAACAGCCTATTGACATAGCTCGAGTGCATGGGGGGAGTTGTGTAAAACCCTGGTTTGTGCCTCGGAGAGGCTGCAGGATCCAGTAAGTTCAGTAGAACTTCGGTTTCAACTCCTTTTGACCATGTCGTAGCTCAGTCGATTAAAGCAGCGTCTGGGATGCTCTCGGACGCAGGTTCGAATCCTCATCACGGGCCTTGTGGATTTGTTCATCTTGGCATCATAATATCATTAAAAGACCTTAAATTTTCACTTCTGGCAATGAAGTTCCAAGGCACGACCCGAGATGGGCAAGGACTTAATGTGTTCATTCTCATGAGGAATTATCAGATAATATAAGATAACTTTTTCACAGACAATCTTTAACAGGCCAGCCAGGGATGATAATCCTGAAACTATATTTTAGCACCTTTCCTGGCTCGGCGGGTCACCCGCAGCGCACCGCAAGGTAGGCTGCGTGTTGCCCGTGAGTGTACAACCACACTCCAATGTTTATACTCTTCCCAGTTTTATCACCTCAATTTGCATGCTTCGTTGTTTATTTTGGTATCAAATTGTTCGCAAAAGAATGTTCTAAAGGGATTTATGCATACAAGGTCAAATAGAACAACAACATTACCAATACCATATGATAAAGTACATCGTCACGTGGTCACCCACAGGGATGTCGTGATGCCACGTCGGGTATACAGAGAATGGGAAGACATTGGCGCACATTTTAAAACAAGTCCCTTGATAATCGAACAATAAATGGAGTTTTTACAAATATTTTAATTGTTGACTGCGTTGACGTCATGTCCCACACTACATGTATTGTTTCAACAACTGCGAGAATGTCATCACGATGTGTAAGTGTTAAGTTGGTTGAAAAAAAAAGGGTGACTGGCAAATTTCATGCTAATAGTATAGAAACCCAACACTGTACCTTAAAGACAGTGTACACAAAACAGTTATTTAGCAAATAGAAATTGTCTTTAGAGATACTGGTGTGAGGTACGGCAACAGGCAAAAGAGAAAGGCCAAGCAGTGCTGGACTACTGGTTGACTAACACTGGAGTCTGGTGGCATCAGGGGTAAGCAGTGAAGTAGTATTTTGGTTATTTAGGTTAGTTTTGAGTTTAATTTGGTATTCTAAACATTTCTCAAGTGTTTGCCACCCTCTATTGACAGTTTTCCTTGGAGTGTGATCATATGCTCACAGCTGCCCAGCTTCTGCTGAAGGAATAGGATCTTGGTCCCCTGCTCCCACTAGTCTGAGATTGTCTTAGATACCTGGTGAAATGATATTGATCCTGGGGTACCAGTGCATATGCTGTGGGGAGCCACTGAGAGGGAGCACTCCAGAAATGAAATGTTAATCATGCCAGAAACTGTAAAATAACAATCTGAATTCCCCTCCTGGACGTGATCAGATATATTTAGTGTATCAGGACTGTGCAGCGTGTTTCTTGTGTACATGCCACTCACTTGACATAATAATAAGTCTTAGGGAGTAGCTAATAGAGCAACTTGTCCTCTTACAAAAAACGTCGCATTTCGATTGTATGCGTTACATGAGGGCAAAACTTGTTGTACAGTACTTGAAAATGGAAGTGGCTTGCAAAAGTAACCTACTGTCCCATTTCTTGTTTTGGGTCCTCTGGTAGGTTAAGAGAGGGCACTTTAATTTGACCATTTTCTTGACGCTGGGAAACCTTCGGAGGACAGGCTGAAAAGAGACCTTAGGATGCACATCAAACAGTGAATTAATATACACTGCATAATGCACAATGTTGTGGCATTTTAGGGGATGACAAGGTTATTCAGCTTCTTTGGGGAGGGAAGTGTATTTTTAATATTGTCAATATTACTTTATTTATAGTAAAATATCTGCATGTACATATATACATGTGTGCTATATAATTTGCCAACAATTTACCACTGTCGGCCATATCGAACAATCGTATATACTTAGCAAGACGTAGCTCCATTCATTCATTAAATAGTGCACAGTGTAATAACTGGCATGGTTTTGAGTACTGTATATTATAATTGCATGTTTTAACACAGTTGCAAAATATTTTAATGTAATCCATCAGGATCCTACAGTGGAGACTGTTATTCACCTCCTAACAAGTTACATCAGGGAGTTGCTTCAGCGTTGTCGTCAGTACAGGGATCAACTTCTGGCATCCTGCTTGACCCTCGTCCTAAAACTGCCTCTCTGCATTGTCCGAGACATTTTCCCGCAGCTGGTGGTTGCATTACAGGTTGGTGTACTTTGTGTGTGTGAAATGAATTTGAGTTTTAGCACAAAACTTTTTCATTAGTATAAAATGAATAGAACTAGTCTTATTACAGAGCACCACTTGGTTTCCGAACTTTAGTTATGGGAAACTTCCAGTTTCCCGATTGGGGTTGGGGAGTCATGCTGGTAGGAAGGGGTCCGCCAAGCGACGCGCCGGCCTGTGGTGGTGGGTGGGAGATGGTCCAGTTTGCCCACTGTGACTTCACAGATTCACTGCCTATTATTCCTATTCCTGTATTTTGAATTGTCATGAGGCTGGAATGTTCTTACTGTGCTTTTGTTTTACATATCTGCACAATCAAGAAACATCTGTGCACCATGTCGGCTCCAAATGCACGCATTGCGTCAGTGATGGCTGACCAGTGGGTGGGGAAGCTTAGGTGGGAGGCATTATGAGAGAGGGAGGGAGAATTAGTGAGAAAGGGAGGGAGGGGGAGATAGGGAGAGATGCTAGGAGGTAGGCAGGAAGAGAGGGAAGTAGTGAGGGAAGATGGGAGAATTAGGGAGGGAGGGAAAGGCAGGCAGACAGGAAGGCAGGCTGGGAAGGAGGCAGGCTGGCAGGCAGGCTGGCAGGCAGGCTGGGAAGGAGGCAGACTGGCAGGCAGGCTGGGAAGGAGGCAGGCTGGGAAGGAGGCAGGCTGGCAGGCAGGCTGGGAAGGAGGCAGGCTGGCAGGCAGGCTGGGAAGGAGGCAGGCTGGCAGGCAGGCTGGGAAGGAGGCAGGCTGGCAGGCAGGCTGGGAAGGAGGCAGGCTGGCAGGCAGGCTGGGAAGGAGGCAGGCTGGCAGGCAGGCTGGCAGGCAGGCAGGCAGGCAGGCAGGCAGGCAGGCAGGCAGGCAGGCAGGCTGGTAGGCAGGCAGGCAGGCAGGCAGACAGGTAGGCTGGTAGGCAGGCAGGCTGGCAGGCTGGGAAGGAGGCAGACAGGCAGGCTGGCAGACAGGCAGGCAGGCAGGCTGGCAGACAGGTAGGCAGGCAGGCTGGCAGGCAGGCTGGCAGGCAGGCTGGCAGGTTGGCAGGCAGGCAGGCAGGCAGGCAGGCAGGCTGGCTGGCTGGCTGGCAGGCAGGCTGGCAGGCTGGGAAGGAGGCAGGTTGGCAGGCAGGCTGGCAGGCTGGGAAGGAGGCAGGTTGGCAGGCAGGCTGGCAGGCAGGCTGGCAGGCAGGCTAGCAGGCTGGGAAGGAGGCAGGTTGGCAGGCAGGCAGGCAGGCAGGCAGGAAGGGATGGATGGGTATTGAGGTGAGCCACGTGACCTTTGAGAGTGTGTGTATGCGGGTGGAAGTGTGTCGGTGGTGGGGGAGGGACTGGCTGGCTCGGGTAAGCCTAACCACCCTCAACCCGTTAGCCAGATTTGTTTCTTAAATGTGCATCATATATATTTTTGGTTACGGGTTTTGCTCAGTAATATTATTAGGATAATAAAAAGTTATAAAAATACTTATTTCATGAATGCTTTATTGTATTAGATGGGGAGGGCAGCAGCAGTGAGGGTGTTCTCACATAGTTATACTCATCTAATTGTTGACCAGACCACACACTAGAAATTGAAGGGACGACGACGTTTCGGTCCGTCCTGGACCATTCTCAAGTTGATTGTGATGAGGAGGTAGGGACAGGCAATAAATAGGCAAGAGAGAGCTGAGGAGGAAAGTCAGGTGTAGGGGATAGTAGTAATGAGAACTGCAGCAGGCCTATTGGCCCATACGAGGCAGCTCCTATTATAACCACCGAAGGAGATAGTAATAGGATTAAGATGATGATAGCAAGGGAGCGTAGGAGAAGACAATGAACAGAAAAAGGGAGAAGAGAGAAAGAAAAGGAAAGAGAAAGAAAGAAATGGAAGGGGGAAAGCTTATGTTAAGTCACGTTTGTTAGAAAGATTAGAGCATTTGAGTATATACTGTGACAGGGAAGAGTCCACAGCAACAAAGCCAGGACTCAAGTTCATGTTGGGTACATTGTGTATAAGAGCCAATTCTACAAGACGGCGTCTGTGTAGAGTAGCGGCAGGAAAGATTATTTTGGAGGAAGACCAATCAATGGGATGATTAGAATCCCTCACATGGCAGAAGAGAGCATTGTTAGTGTCTGCAGACATAACACTTCTCTTGTGTTCTTTAAGTCTGTCATTCAGTGTACGGCCAGTTTCGCCAAAGTATTGGAGAGGACAAGATGAACAGGAAATAGAGTAGACACCAGCAGCATTAGAAGCAGGAGGAGCAGTGTGAACTAGATTGCTACGAAGTGTGTTAGTTTGTCGAAAGGCGAGTTTAATGTCAAGAGGACGAAAGGTATTGGTAAAAGTTTTGAGTTCAGATATGAAGGGAAGGCAGAGTACAGTGCTACTAGTGTTGGAAGCAGGTTTAGGATGAAAGAAATTTCGTTTAGCTTGAGAGTGGGCACAGTTGATGAAATCTAATTGTCATCTAATTGTCTCATCTAATTGAGACAATTACAAGATTGATAAATAATGACAAGATTAATAAATAATCTCATCTAATTGTCCTTGCAGGGTTGAGCTTTGGGTCTTTGGTCCTTTGGTCCTGTCACTCCTGAGGGAGAAGTGGATCAGGACTTCTCTAATTGGCGAGTGCAAACAAAATACTGTCGCATTCATGCTATGAACCTGTCGATTTTTTCCCTTAGATTTTTCTCTCCATTTTCCTCCATTTCTCGTTTACGAACTTACATGATAACCGACGGGTCTCGTCCACAAGGGATTCGGAAACCAGGTGCTCTGCTATATCCTAAGTTCCTTAGAAATTCAACTTTGATGTATAGTTATGTATCTGTACTGTAGAGTTTGTCTGGCTGGTGCTCATGACTATAATTATGCTGATGTCTTATGTGCTCATTATCATCAATCCTTCAATATTCTTTGTATTTTGCTTCTGGTAATAACTCTAATTTTAGAGGTATTGTACCAGAAAAATATAGCTGAACCTTGATAGAATGACTTTGTGGAATTGGACCCATTATATCAAGGCTTGTGCCATTTTCAGTATGTCAACAGATTTTAATTTTAGGCATATAGCACACATGTGTACTACAGAGCACCACTTGGTTTCCGAACTTTAGTTATCCGAAACTTCCAGTTTCCCGATTGGGGTTGGGGAGTTGTTCGGGTAGGAAGGGGTCCGCCAAGCGTCACGCCGGCCTGTGGTGGTGGGTGGGAGATGGTCCAGTTTGCCCACTGTAACTTAACAGATTCTTGGCCTATTATTCCTATTATTTTGAATTGTCATAAGGCTGGAATATTCATTCTGTGCTTTTGTTTTACTTATCTGCACAATCAAGAAACATATGTGCACCATGTCGGCTCCAAATGCACGCACTGCGTCAGTGATGGCTGACTGGTGGGTGAATGGATGGGAGAGCTTAGGTGGGAGGCAGTATGAGAGGGGGAGAATCAGTGAGAGAGGGGGAGAATTAGTGAGAAAGGGAGGGAGAGATGCTAGGAGGGAGGCAGGAAGAGAGGGAAGTAGTGAGAATTAGGGAGGGAGAGAAAGGCAGGCTGGCTGGCTGGCTGGCTGGCTGGCTGGCTGGCTGGCTGGGCCCCGGGCCGACCAGACCAGACCAGACCAGACCAGACCAGACCAGACCAGACAGACAGACAGACAGACAGACAGACCGGGCTGGCTGGCTTGGATGGGAGGCAGGCTGGATGGCAAGCAGAGAGGGAGGCAGGCTGGCTGGCAAGTAGGGAGGCAGGCTGGCTGGCAAGTAGGGAGGCAGGGATAGTCATGTAGTTGAACCGCATAACCTTTAAGAGAGAGTATGGGATGTAGGAGGGGGGTTGGGGACAGACCGGCTCCATTCGCATCCGAGCGGGTTTTTATATACATACTATATAGATGTCACATCTGTGATGGGAAAAAACTCTTTTTTTCTGGGGAAGCTCCTTCGGCTCCCCAGAGCTTACTAGGCTGATATGCTAATGTCAGACTTTGGCATCAGTCATGTGTATGGAGTTCTATAAGCCTACTGGGGACCACGAGCCAGAACCTGGCCCCCTCAGAAGAGGCAAGGGTAGCAATGGCCCATAGAAACCCACGTGTGGTTGGAAGCATTCCAAGTCTGCCATCGACCGGGTCAGGCACCCAGAAAGGTAAGCATACCAAAACAAACTCATATTTTGGGGAAAATGTTGCTACCAAAATCCGAACAAGTGGATAGAACTCCCCTAAACGAAACAAGGAAACGATCATGACATCACACGTCGTCGCACCGCTGTCTGCGCAGCTCCCACCTCCCCGGGAGGGGGAAGGGGGGCCCCAGACCCCACAAGCTGGCTATCCACCCTTTAGTTCTTAGGCTGATGATAGAGGCTACGGTTGTGTGCTCTGGCTCCAGACATAGTTTCAGCACTGTGCTTTGATTATGGTGGCTGTCTTCTAGGGGTGCGAGAGCCAGGAGTTTTTCTCCGGTACTCGGGCTGCATGCGCTTAGGGTTCCCTTTCCTAGGTGTCCTGTAAGTACTGCCCTTGGGGCTTGGGGTTACATTCCACAAGTTCCTTGGGTCCTGTCTCTGCTGGCCATTTTACTGCTCGTTTTTTTGCCCGCCCTTTGTGTACTTGGGTGTTTTGTCTCCCTTGTTTACCTTAGGGTAAGAGGCAGTTTGCACTAGTTCGAGGTATGTGGTGCTGTGTAGCTTGTTTTCACCGATTAGCGGCCGACTCTGTTCCTCTTGGGTACGCTGTCCTCTTGCGGGGTTTTATTTTTCTTTTTGCCTTGTGGGGGGGGTGGGTGGGATCTGCCCTGCTTTTTGGCCACTTGTGCTTGATCTATTACAGTTCTTCTCTGGTGGTACCCCCTACTAGGTCCCCCGTGAGTGTACACGTCCCTGGGGTGCAGCTTTAGTGAGTTTGCTTGGTAGTTTTGGGCGGCGGTTGGCAGTACCCTGCCGGGGGTTACCTGGGCGTGAGTCTCGTTAAGTGCTCAGGCCCCTGGGAAACCCTTGGGGGCGTGTG